TATAATTTTCTATAATCTTTCATTACTCCTGATTGAAGAGTTCAAGTGACTGCTGAGTCATTACTAGTAAACAAAGAAGCATATTGATCCACAAGATGCTCTGTTCCCTGTGACTTAATTGTAATTTCAAGGTTTAACACAGACTTACCTGAGAAAGAGTGCAAGTTAAAGTATGCATCTCCCTAATTCTCTTACTGGACTAGTATAAGCAGCTTTTTACATAATGGTTTGTGTAGTCAATTAGCAGAGTATTAGCTATAATAGATAACATTCTTACTAAGACCATATTAATTAGAGCTTAAACACAGCTAATCTGAGACCTATATTGAATTTATATTATTATGTAAGCATAATGCTTCCGTAGGCAAGCAATTTCCTTCATGGCATTTTTAAGGAAAAGGAAACCCTAACATCTGAGATATAAATATGCAAATTTTAGCAGCTATTTGGAAACCACGTAACGTTTCTCAAAACTTGAGTGTGCCAGGCCATATTACAAATAATAGTAAGATTATGAGCTGCAAAGGACACAGAAGACTGAATACCTCTTAAATTTATTGGAACAGAAGGAGTGGGATTGCTAGCTAAGAAAATCTCTGCAAGAATTTAATGGATTTATGTTACTGCTCCATGTTTTACCTTGTGTTAGACCCCATTTCCGGGGTTCTCCAGTGTAACTTCTCCTCAGCAAAAATAAAGCCTGATGTGTCTCCATACCCACATTTTATTGATCCACACGAATCCATCAGTTTTGAGACAAACATTCTCTGAAATGAATTAGGAATCCTGTCTAAATACAGATGTAAATTTATTTCTAGTTGCATGGGTTTGTGGCCTCTTTATCACTTTGTTCAGCAGTTCTGCAATATAACCAAACCTTAATATGTCTCTGGCAATATCAGCTACCTGAAGGAACCCCTTAGGCAAAAACATATTAAATTTTTAAATCACAGATAACCATGAAACTAAGCAATTGCAAATTTACAAGCATAGAAAACTTCAGTACAATATCAGAAAAACTGTGTATTGCAATGCAATTAAAATGCTACCATCTTGACTCCTGCCACCAACAGTAGCATCACTGCTGTTAGTTGAAAAAATCCACTAATAATAAGCTGATAGGGCCACAATGTTCTGTTATGTTATCTAGTTACACTGCTGAGAATTATTGCCCATCTGTATGCCAGAAGACAAGTGCTTCTCATCGTGACTGAAATGAAGTGGAAGAATGAGGGCTAATACGCTCGTAAACGCTTATGCCAAGAGTCATGTAAGTGACTGGGGGCTCACTAAGCAGGTTACATCTGTAACTTCAGATGCAGAGTTGACAACCTTTTGAATTCATACCCCCCTCTCCCATTTTTATTGAAAAGCTATTTTCATATTTGCAGTATCTTATTTTTTTTTTCTTTTTTTTCTTCTTTTTCTAATGGTAGACTTTCAGACATTGTGGGATATTTAAGCATTAGCCATATTCTTCCATATCTAAAAATATCAGTCAGTAGTGTTTTAAAATCTCGCTTCCCAATTTATGCACCATTATTTTCAGAACATATACTTTAATTTCACCAACAGAGGTCAGTAAACCACTGAAAGAGAGCCATAAGTGTTCGGTGAGAACACACCTTTATCAATCTTCCTAACATCCTTCTGATAGTTTTGTTCAAAGGGGTCTTATTGGGTTGCATCAGCAAATACAAGTTAGTTAGCTAAAAAAAAGGAAATGTATGCTTATGCACGCAGGAGAACGAGTTTTATTAAGGAGATGAATTACATAAAATACTATATTGTTGAAGATCTTTCAGCATTAGAATATATTTGAATACCTGTTATGAAGCTAGTAACATACATACATGCATGGGTATGATCATTGCTGAATCAATTTGTCAAGGTTAAAACAGGCTGTGATTTAAATGGTAGTACTGTGAATGATCTGCAGAATTCTACTTTTCAAGCTTTGTGCTGTTGAAAACCAACATAGTGTGGAGAGAGTACAAATAGGAGGATCCCAGAGAAGTAACATTTAGTGATATTAAAATAACAGATAGAAGCGCAGGAGAAACCAAGAGCTGTCACTGACTTGCTCATTTTGACAGTAACAGCTAATGGCACTATATTAACACATCATTTTCCAACTTTCAACTGTAATGAAAAGCTATTTTTACAAATCATTACTTTCGGTATATGGTGTTTCAGCCACGTGGCTTCTATTAGCGTACAGGGGAGTTTCACAACTAAAGCTGCCTGTGCAGTACTGAAAGTGTACCTTTTATGTTGAGCTAATCCCAGAGGGGAGTCAGCACTCGCGCCCGTGTCCTTTTGACCTTTATCCTTTTAAAGCATTTTGCCTCAGTAGCAAAAGGTGAAAACCTAGTTTTTATGTTGCAAAACAGACTGCTTCAACAGCATTTCTCTATGAAGCTAAGGAAAGTAACATACGCTCCTGTGGAAATGTTGGAAGTCCCTAGTTCAGCAATCAACAATGGCTTTAAAAACGTATTTTTAGAATCACTTTTCTGGTAGCTCTTTGAAGCTCGCCCGTACAGCCTCGCTACCACCCCTCTCAACAGCTGTGAGCATGCGAAGTCACTGGAGTGGAAGATGTTAATTATCATCAGCTACTGGAATTTCTCCAGGGACTACTTGTGGTTAGAAACATGCTTCCCTAAAGAAGTGCACTAGGCGCTGGGATCATCTCTCCTGTAGTTTACCTGGGTCCCTCCTCTTAAGCCAAACAGATAATCAATTAAAACTCCCAGTCTTCACTTTTAAGCATTCTTCTCTTAGGACATGATTGTGTGATTTTCCTAAGCAATCTGAACTGTAAAATCTTTTATTTCTCTGAATAGAGTTTCAACAATAGGCATTTTCATGTATATGTGAGTTTCCCAGGGACTAGGTTTAACATATGTACAGCTTTTGATTAAAAACTGGAGAAACAAGTCTAAAATGAAAAAGGACCAAAACCAGAAGGCAGGCAAATTGATGGACACAACTGTGTTTGGTTTCTTTTTCCTGACTAGTAATTTGAACTTCCTTTTTATGGCCAAGAAAAAGCTATGCACCTCCCCCCCATGTCATCAGAAAACTGCACACACAAAAATGGTCTTTCCCCTTCTGCTTTACCTCCTGCTATTCAGTGGCATTTTGAGTCTAAACTAGTTAGCATCATGAGCTTGATGTGATGTCACCAAGTGAGATATTCCCCACAGGGAACCAAAATAATAGTAGATGAGCTGGCAGAAAGGGAAATAACATAAAACCAACAGATTCTAAGCCTAGCCCTTTACTGTGACTACTACAAAGCACCTTTAATGATTGAACACATCCTTAAATGTACCTTGTAGATCCCTCTGTAGTAGTTAAACCTAGTAATCGCTGCCACCCCCGCAAAAAGACCAAGTCAGGTCAGTCTCTAGCTGCAGAGAAACTGGGATGAACTCGGTAATCTGCAGGACTTGATTCCCAACGCACCAAGATGAACGCTGAGGACATTTCTCTCGCCCTTTGCTATGGACAAGAACGGCACATGTTGCCCAGTCCTTAACCAAGTGACACACCAGTCTTTTTTGGTAATCTAAGTGAGCTGAAGGAAAACAGGCACCCCACTCTCGAAGAATGCTGTCCCCTTCCGGTAAGGGTACAGGAAATCCCCTTCCACCCCTAGGAGGAAGGGGTAAACGGGAGGAAGGAAACCAAATGTAATGGAACGTAAACACGTCAACTGTGAAAACAGTAACCACCAGTGACTACAGAAATCCTTCGTTGTTATACTTAAGGGCAACGAGTACAGTGGTATTTCAGTTATTCAGTGTTTACAGAGCTAAAAACCCCACTACTGGCAAATTCCCCTCTATATAGGTCATTAGTGCTGTTGTATTGTACACCTTCTCCAGTTCAACATCAAATACAGTGATCAAGAAGTAGATATAATCAAGATGAGGGATTGCTTAATTCTTCTAAAATGGTCACTGCTTAATGGCGTAGACCCATTAACTCCAAGTCAGCTGCTGTAGGCCTTTACAAGCCAGAGAAGGTAACAGAATAGATGTTCCCCTGCTGTCATCAAGAGTAACAGTAAAGGTAACAGTGAGCACACAAACACAGAACTGTTACATACAAAAAAAGTTTAATTGAAATACCTGTATAAAAAATATGATCTCCATACATTTCACACTGTTAAACAGAAGAAAAAAAATCCAAATCCAAGCTGCATAAATGCAACCAGATCACAGAAACACAGCTATTAAAATAAATTAAGGTTTATGACTCTGCCACTCTACCTTCCAGAGCCAATGCACGGAGACTGTACAATGTCAATAATTTAAAACCCTTCCAAACAGCATTACTTTACATTTCTGGTACAATTATACCAGACAAAAGGCATACTGACTAACTTTAAAAAGTCATTCTATTTCCCTTAAATTAGACTTTGTACAACAATTTTCCATCTTCCAACAAAAATTGATAAGGTCAGAAAACTTTTTTTTTTTCTATTTTTTTTTTTAAACAAAAGTTGACAGGAATGCAGAAAAAAAGTGCCATGGGCAAACCACTAGAATTCCCATGGGGAGAAGGAGGGGAAAGCACAGTGTTGAATAACTCTAACCAAATAAATTAACCAAATAAATAGCCACAGCCGAAACCTGTGGGAGGTCTTCTAAACTCCAAACAATAAATAACTGTATAGTACATGGGAAAAACCAAGTTTACATAAACACATTATACAGGTATGGAAAAAAAAGTAAAGTCCTTGAATATTGCATTGATTGTGCATTCAACATGCCCATACATACTTTAAGACTCGCAGGGTGACAAAAGGCCAGGGGGAGTTGAGAAAGGGGCTTCTCATGCCCAATGGTAGAGATGATAAAAGGAAACATGAATAAATGTTTCTGATAAAAAAGCTGATATACCTGTTCATATTTCTGTGCAGGCTATAGGAAATATTTTGAGCAGCAGAGGTGGGTTGGATTTGGAAAGGGCTGGGGGGCAGGAGTGAAATGTCTGTGTTCAAGTATTCCATCACCAGTGGATGGGACTACTTCATTCAATCACCGAACATGTTCTCCAATGCATCATAGGAGCTGCTTCCTCCAGCACTGAGTCTAAAGGGAGCAAATTCCTATAATGAACTGGATCTTCTTTGGACATACACAGCTCAAAAAAGAAAGTCCCACTGAAGCAGCTTTCAAAAAGGCACTCAAAAGCAAATAAAATCTAGTCCAGGCTCTATGAGAGCAAAAAAGTTTACCATGTATTCAAGAGGTCACTGCTTTCTTAATAAGGTCAGTCTTTGACTAAGTACTGGCCTGCAACTCCCAAACATCAGCGTTTCCAAAGGAAATCTCTCATTCCAAAGCAGAAACCAGCAAAGGGGGAAAATAAAATCAAGTCCCTCAGACAAAGATTCAACTACAGAATAATGAATGCATTTTTCTAGCCCCTCCTACGTATTGGCAGCAGCACTGTGGTCTTTCTGCTTGTAGCTCCCCTCCCAGTGCGAGGTCCTTAGTAATTCACAGACTCTCATTACTTGAGCTTGTGCTAGATACATCAGTATCAAGGGTCCGTAGCCTTATGTCACAGTCCTCAGACTTCACTACTTCAGATTTGTGCATCCATTGATGGTCAAAAATTTGCTCAAGTGTTGGTCTGTCTGAAGGCCTCAGTGAAAGGCACCATTTGATAAGCTGTTGACATTCTGTAACAAAAAAAAAAAAAAGCAATTTTAGACTAGAAAAGTAAAAAAAAAAAAAAAAAAAAAAGAAAAGAAGCAGCAGCCCTCACTTGACCCCTATACAACTCACCAGGTGAAATTCTTCTCCTGAAGTATAACCGTCCCCTCAAGATTTCTTCATCTTGCTCAAAAGGGATGTCTCCACAAACCATATCATACAGCAGTACTCCCAGAGACCATACTGTTGCTGACCTCCCATGGTATCTGTGGTATCTGATCCACTCTGGAGGGCTGTATACTCTCGTTCCTAAAAGCAGGGGAAAAAAAAAAAAAAAAAGAAAATAAAGTCAAGGTTTAGAGTGTTTCCCCATTGTTCAGCTCGTTCTAGTAGGGATAAAATAAATTCATAAACTTGTCATTTGGGAGTAAAAAAAAAAAAAATTTCTTATGGGCCAAAACCATTAACGGTGTAATTTCAGGTCATCTGCGGGATTACACCATCAACAGACTTGGCCCATCCGGTTGTGCTGTTTTGTGGCAAGGAATAACACAGCCCCATCAGCTGACTGTTTACTGAGGCAAGCTCCCTTTCACTGACCACGTGGCGTCTGCAGCATCACACCAAAAACAGACACAAAAGGACAAAGGGGGCTGGCGGGGAGGAGGCGAGAGGGCTGCAAGAAGGTGAAACTCAGGTCTACCCGTATTACACCGGGCTAATCTGCTTTATCCAATTCCGCAAGGCAATAAACAAAATAGGGCTGCTTACGTTTTCTGCGTTTT